GAAATTCTACATTATTTCTGTTGAAATGAAGTAGACATAACACTGAAAACTAAAAGTGATTTTAGGCATCGCAACATTAAAATAAATATGAAAGATTTAATTGAATAGTGTAGTTAAATTATTAGTGTTAGATGGTAGGAAAAGTTATATAAACATACACTACCTTTCAAAATGTTTCATTTTTTATATATAAAAAACTTTTAATCAGCAATGATGCATTAAATTGATCAAATGTGACAGTAAGGACATTTATAATGTTACAAAAAAAACTATTTCAAATAAATGCTGCTCTTTTAAACATTCTATTAATCAAAGAATCCTGAAATAACTATTATGGTTTCCACAAAAAATATAAGGCGTCACAACTGTTTTCAACACTGATCATTAGAAATGCTTCTTGAGCAGCAAATAGCGGTCACGTCAAAACGCCTTTGTGAAAACAGTCTACAAAAGAGGAAGGGGAACTTCTTCACTCTGTCGTCGACAAATTTAATCTGTAAATTCAGACAATTCAAAAAAAATAAAAATGAAAGGGAAAAACATCTGGTGTAATTTATGCAAGTTTGCCAAGAACAACCTAACCTACTGCCCCGGCTCTTGCTTGTTAATTCAGGCAGACTGAGTCAGTTACCATGTGTTAATCACGGGCATGTGCTGGGCTTGCCAAGACGCGCTCTTATTTGCCTTTACGCCCCAGAGGGTATTTGGAACAGTATGAATGTCAAAGTCTGTGATTCACCAGCTACAGGGCAACAAAAGCACATACTGACGCTGCCCGAGTGCTGCAGTCCCAGAGCTCTGTCTGACGGGGACAAAAGAGATGCACTGAAGCTGCCGTACAAGACTAGCACTTGCACTGTTGATTCTTAGTCCAAGCCAGGGGTTCCCAACTTTTTTTTGTCAGTCAAAACCCCTCTACTTACCTGAAGTACCCCTTGAGAATTTAAGATATTTCAGTAATTTAACATCACAATTACATTCATGATTCTCTGATATTGGTTAATGCTTACATGACATGTAAGTGAACAAATAAAATAGTTATAATTAATAGTTACGTTTTTTTATAATTTTTTTTTAGAAAACATTTTAGGAACCCAATCAAATTAAATACTGATAAAATGTATCTATATATATATATATATTTTATTTTATTTACTGTAATTGTACAAATTACAGTAAAAAAATCATTATATTACCGTTTTAAAATAAAATTTGATAATTATAATAATTTTCATCTTACAGTACAAGTTACAATACTAACATTTATGTCTTAAATTCTTCACCTTTAAACATTCAAACTCTCAAGCTTTTATTTTGGTGGAACATAAAATGCTGTAAACTTCTGATCACAAAAATATTGTAAATTATGCAAATTTGTCAAACTAATTAAATCGAGCACACATTGCATTCCCAAATGCATGTTAAATAGCACATGCTGAGATGAAGTCGGCTGAATATTCTGTAAACCGAGAAGCACTGAGACATCAGAGTGCATCAGATTAAACAGTGTTTCACTAAATCGCAGCCTTTGCTTTGATAATAGCACTAAGCTATATCATGTTTATTACACAGCAGCACCATTTATTGATTTTAATTTTATATGCAACATACTTCTTATTTTCTCATCAATTCAAGAATCCCCATTTGGGGAATCTTGATTTATGCATTTTCATGACTAAAAATTTAAAAAAAGAAGAAGAAAAATAAAAAATTCGGGAGAGAATTCTAAATTCTAAGATAATCTGTCGGATGAAACAAATCTGAATAGCATACCTGAATTGCAGCAAACGTCAGAGCGGCCCAGATGACGTACATCATAATCTCTTTCAGTTTCTTCACAACCAGGGCTTCACATCCCTAAGATGATTTAACAAATACATTAACATCACACGCAGGCTTCCTTGGCTTCATCGGCTACACTCACAAGCACATCTCTCACTAACCTCAGGGTAGAGATCTCCGGGGCGGGAGAGGGAGCCGGTGCAGTTGTTCACGTTGGGTTTGCAGCAGCTCAGTGGCACACTGTTGTTCCTAGACTCATTAAACCAACGCGTGTTCTTCCAGTCTGAGTAGTTGGTGATGCCGCAGCAATGGAGCTTCAAGTTGTGACAAAGACATTATAGTGATTTTATTAGGGTTGGAATTGATTTATTAACAATACAATAACAGAACATTCTGTGCATCTCATTAAGCAGTCTCACCTGTCTCTGCACATAGTCAATAGCACGGCTGGGAGCATCCGTGTTGGTGCCATTGTATTCATCATACACTTTCTGGATGGAATGATTGACCTCGTCTTCCACCTAGAAACACATCCATCAGTGACACAAATTAACCTTCCATTAAAAGGTCAATACCTGCCCCCTTAAACTGATATCAAGAGGCATTTTTTCCTTTCTAAGGGCAATTTTTTCAAACCTTAACAAATGTATGCAGAAAATATAAGAATCTGACATAAAAGATTATCATGAAATTCAAATACAATTGAAAATGAAATGATACTTTAAAAATGAAACTAAAATCACAGTGGAAAGTCTTAATGAGCGGGTCATTCATTCAAACAGCTCATTCAGGAAGGAAGGAAGCAAGAATTTTGCACTTTATGAATGGGTCATTGAATTGTTCCCTCAACTGATTTCTTTAAAATGTGGATTCATTCAGGAACAAAACACTGTTTGTTGCAACGGTTTTGCTGTAGCTTACTTTGGAACTATTTTCGTTCATAAAATATAGCAAAAACAGACAATGATGTGTGTCTAATAAAATGTAATTCTACATCGTAATTCTACATTACTTAAAACTTAATATTAACTTTTAATTATAAAATCAATATCATATTTGCAATTGTGCTGATATATATATATAAAAAAAATATTTTTAAACCACTCCTGCTTGTGTAATACTGTTTAACTATATAATAATAGAACTCACAATGGGACACTTTGTCAATATTTTGAATTTTGAGGGGCAATTTTATTAATTTTGGCCCTCATTAATTTCTGTCCCTGACATCCACCTTTCACTAAATCCATTCTTCATATAGGAGGAGACAGCATTGCTATACAACAGCACAGCACAATACAAGGCAGGTATTACATTGCCTTGTTCACCTTTGCACACAACTGAAA